GGAGGAAAAAATAAAAATTTATTCGCGAATTTTTATACTTAAAAAATCACGTGACCAACAAGTAGAGAAGAAAGATGGTTTCCGTGGTGTAGTTGGTTATCACGTCTGTCTAACACACAGACGGTCCCTGGTTCGAACCCGGGCGGAAACATCTTTTGTTTTTTTCCACCCATGATCAATTGGGTTTAGTACAGAAAGCATTTTTAACTTTGTTTCTGGCATTTCTATTTAAAAAAACAACTTTCATTGTGCAATATTATATATCTTTTTATTTTGTAACAACAAATCTGTTACTGCTGTTCGATAAATATATGAATATTTTAAAAATCTGGTCAAGGGAGTCATGCTGAAAGCCCGCGTGATTTCCTTTACATATCTCAATTACCACTAGGCGGGGAGAAGTGGATATCTACTGGGTAATAACTGCATCCTAATACTATCTCAACAACATCATTGCGTGCTAGGAATAAAAACACTTCTGGGGTTAACTATCACACATGTTTTGCAGCATGGCTAGAATCAAAAATAAAAGATATTCTAGAAAGAACAGTTTTTATGGAACGCGAGAAAGCATGTTTTATAATTTTATGGTAGGGTGTGCCACAGAGATTATGTGGTAGTTACATGTGTTAGACAAGATTATATAAAATTTAGCCTATGGGTTTGAAACCTTTCCATGCGAGACTAGCCACAAAAAGCAGTCACACACCACGCCTGACCCCGCATGTACACACAACCAGACAAGTCGGTTTATGGTGAGCTAGCGCTCTCACACAGACACAGACATACACTGATACTTACTAATAAGCTTTGAATCTGTGCGGGAGACAGTGAAACATATATGTGTGGTTGCAATCATGGCAATATAAATCCCTTATATAATCTCGCCCACCCCAACATCTCTTTGTTCAGAGCATACTAATCTTGATATCTTTTCATCAGCCGAGTTTATACTTCATTGCATACTGTACATTCCTCCTCTGGACTTTTCTTTTTCTAACACAAATATATTGGGTATAACTATTGACCATAAAACTTGGCCAGGGTAGATATCGTGTATCTTGGATTTAGTTGTTGATAATAGCAAGGAAAATGATTGCCAGCGAAGACATCATCCCGATGCCACCAACAGATGGGGAAACTGCCGCTACGTCCTTGAAGTCGGTGGATAAGCCTGAAGACATAGATGCCGGTGGGCGTGGGGCACATGCAAGCGATGTTGACGAAGACATTGATTACTTTTATTCTCAACACGAAGGCTTAACATGTTTAGCCAGCGAACCAGGTTCGATCGGTGCTTTCAAGTGGATAAACACAACCGAAGACATTCTTCGTAAACAAAAACTTCCCGAAGACAAATGGGTAGACACAGCCTATGATTATCTTAAGCCCTGCGTGATGGAACTATACCAAGACTTTATAAAGACTGCCGAAAGCGATCCTACTAAAGATGGCGGAGGCAGTGATAGTGGGTACGAATGCTGTGATGACAAGAAAAAGTCATGGAAGCTGTTTAGAAAATTCATTGTATCTTCGCCCAAGGACTCGAACCGAATTAAGGAGGAGATGGCGGCCAAGCGGCTTTTGGAACTCCGAATGGACACCACCGCTGACACTACTTCAATAAACGACTTCAACATGGAGTTCATGAAACATGTTTATAATTGCAAGATCGATCCCGAACATCGCCTGGTTCATGCCATTTATCGCAAGAAGATGCCTCCCGTTGTTCGTAGGAAAATGTCAGAGATGATGGGTAGTGATAAAGATCTCAGTGCCCTCATGGCTGTGGCTAATAATTATAAAGACCTTATTGCCAAGGCAGTTCAAGAGAAAGTTCACGGTCATCACAAGTTACAGCAATTACCTTCTATTCCGCTACAGCCAACATTGCCTTTACCATCAGTATCTCCATTCCCTTCTCGTCATCATTATGGTAGTGGATCTTCTTGTAGTAATTATACACGTATTAGAGCTACTGATCCGCATAGAAGACTTGCTCCATCCCCATACAGCCATCACTCACATCATCAACCACCAAGCTCTCAACAGCAACAGTATTATCAGCCACAACGGAATAGTAGAATAAGCAAAGACAACAACATAAGAAGAGGAGGGAGGAGAAGCTGTTCAAGATACTCAAGAGAAGATCGATTTATTGATACATGCATCCCACCACATCCGACTTCACCACCATTGCCATCGTATGGTAAAAGGCACCATGACTTTGATGATACTTACCAAGACATCAGTTTTAATAATATAAGAATAGCCAACAGTAGTAGTAATAGACGAGAAAATAGGACTACTCATCGTCATGGTGGCGGTCAAGCTAAAAAATTCCCTCCATATTGGTTAGTTAAACAGCGGATGGATAAAGTAGAATATTGTCGTCAACTATTAAACGATCGTTGCTTATTATGTAATTCCACTCAACACATCCTAAGATATTGTCCTCAATTTAAAGAAATGGATGCCAATCGATATTTTGAATCCCTTCGCGAAGATAAAGATCCTGAAAATGATGTATATATCAGCAATTTAGATTGTGGAAGTAGTACTGCTAATGGAGATGATTGGTAATCTTTTTTTTGCAAGATGTAAAGACGATGGGTCAGTGCGAGTGTTGTTGTGGTATAAGTTTAGAAAAGAAAGGAATAAACATTGATTAATATTATTTTTTGTAATAACAATAACAGAAATAGCGAATTTTTCAATTATTTTATTAATTTAATTATTATAACGGTTATATGGGCAATTATTTTTGAAGAGTGAAAGTTTACTAGTAAAACTGGACATCCATTTGGCTGTGATTGTGCCTATAAATATTCACCCTTCAAAAATTATGATCCATATTGTTAGATTCATCTCCCTTGTATTTCTTTTATACAAAATTTTGGTACAGTTGGGATATGAAATTGGAGTCGACCCCATAATAAATCAACATCGCTTGCTAAAAATACTCTTGACAAAATTTAAAAAAGATTCTTTATTATCTATTAATATTAATAATAAAATGGTAAGAAATAATAAAACAATAGTTTTCATATATATAAAATATATACTAACCAATTTAATATTAATATTATATAGTCTGTGACTTTACATACAACACTTGGTGACTTGAAAATCGAAGTATTTTGTGAAGATGTACCAAAAACTGCAGAGGTAAGTCCATTCAAACAACAACAAATCTCCATATTTAAACACACGTGCTTGTATATTAAGTACAACTTAAAATCTCTCTCTCTCTCTCTCTTTCTTTCTTTGTATTAATATATCTGTTTTTGTTTATTGATAATGATATTGGTTATAGAATTTCTTGGCACTTTGTGCAAGCGGATATTATGATGACACAATAATCCACAGGTAAACAATAATAACCTCTATTCAATTCTTTTTTTTAAAAAAAAGTAATTACGACAAGGAAATTTATTTATTTATAAACATAATCAAAACCTTTTTATAATATATTATACCATCAACTTTTGTTGTTGATGTTATAATAGAAACATTAAAGACTTCATAGTCCAAGTAAGTGTTTATAACCACCCAGATATCTAATATAATACTACACACACTCACACACTCACTAAAAAACCCCGAAAATGATGATTACAATTTGAATAGATGGGAGATCCTACAGGAACCGGTAAAGGAGGTACTTCAATATGGAACAAAAAGTTTGCTGATGAAATTCGATCAACTTTGAAGGTAATAATCTCCAAATCTCTCTCTCTCTTTCTTTCTTTCTTGCCAGAAATTCAAATCCACATATTTATAAATTTCTCTTTATCTAAACTCTCTTTTCTGCATATTCACACTTACTCATATCCATTTGAAAATAGCATAATGATCGCGGTATTGTTAGTATGGCAAATTCTGGTCCAGATACAAATGGATCTCAATTCTTTATTTCTTACAGCAAACAACCAATTCTTGACACCAAATACACAATCTTTGGAAAGTAAGTACATATATACATATATATATATATATATATATATTCTCTCTGTTTACAAATTATTATAAATTCCATTTACATACAACTATTTTTGTTAGAGTAATTGATGGTACAGATACAACTCTATCCGAAATAGAAAAAATCCCAGTTGATAAAAAGAATAGACCACTCCAAGAAATTAAAATAAAATCAGTAACAATCCATGCAAATCCAATTGCCGAAAATGCGGACTAAAAAATCCCCCCTATCACCACCACCACCACTAAATCACAAAAATTCGCTCATAATAATAATAACAATAATCATTTAAAACACTTTTCTGTTCAATAAAGTCATCATTTCCTAAAAGTTTAAATATGTGTGTATATAGGTTTCATCAATCAATATTTATCATTAATAAAGAATAATAAGGGAGAGTAGAGGGTAGAAGAATCAGAGAAAATATAAAAGATGTCTCTCTTTTTAAACTCAGTTTTATAAAAAAAACCTTTAATGACCAAACAAAAAGAAATAAGAAAACATAAAAAGGAGAGTAAAAGAAAAAAACTAGTTGGTAGTAGTAGCAGCAGTAGTAGTATAACATAACAAAAGAATCACAATCTATTCTTGCTGATGATACTCTACAACATAATCAAGCCACTTTTAGACATAAAAAGAAAGGAAATTTGTGTATATGTGTGTGTGTGGGGAGGAGGGTGAGATAATAGTAGTAGTAGTAGTAGTAAGTTAAGGAAAGAGAGGAGGAGGAGATTTAAGAAAATGGATGAGAGAATCATGAACATCACACACAACATCGGTTTAGAACAAGAAAGTACCAGCAACCAAAGCAAAGGTAGAAACCAGACCAAGGAACTGCACAGGATTAGCACCAGAATCGCTATCATCCGAGCTACCATCTGAATCCTTCTTATCACCCTTCTTTGACGAGTTGTTCTTTACATTACCTTTGCAGGTAACCTTATTAGCATTCTTAATATACGAAGATACATTCTTCTTAAATCCATCACAGTTGATATCACCAGTCGACTTCATGGAAAGAGACCCATCCATATGGCTGATAGCCGTGAACGAAGCATTGTCAAAAGGTCCAATAAGAACGATAGATCCAGAAATGCTCTTCAACTTGGGGAACGAATCAGGATAAAGATAAGTCATCTTTGTATTGTTCTGGATATTCAAGGATCCGC